AGAGATGTAAATCAAAACAACAATGAGATATTCCATCTCACCCCAGCACAGATGGCAAGGTTCAATGAGACAGAAAATAACAAATGCTAGTGGGGATGTGGAGAGATTGGGACTCTCATACACTGCTTGTGTGACTGTGAAGTGACACAACCACTGTGGAAAGCAATATGACCATTCCTTAGAAAGTTGGCATTGGAGACACCATTTGACCCAGCAATCCCATTCCTAGGTATATGTCCTAGAGAGATGAGAGCCAGGACAGGAACAGATACATGCATGCTCATATTCATCACAGCACTATTTACAATAGCAAAAAGATGGAAACAACCTACATGCCCATCAGCGGAAGAGTGGATGACCAAACTATGGTACATACACATAATGGAATGCTATGCAGCAGTAAAGAATAATGTAGAGTCTGCAAAACACTGCATAATATGGATGAACTTGGAGGACATTATGCTGAGTGAAATAAGTCAATCACAGAAAGACAAATATAGTATTAGTTTGTTGTTGTGGACAGTCAAGGAAAGGTTTATACATGGAGGGAAACTTTCTTTGTTGGTTGCCAGGGATGGGAGGGGAGGAAACACTGCAAAAAAACAAACAAAGTACTGACCCAAGTCACTTTAGTTTTGTGTATTTCACTGTACATAAATTGTATTTCAATAAAATGCATTAAATTTTTTTTAAAAAAAGTGAATGAGAACATTGTATAACCATTCTGTAGTATAATATAATAAAACTCTGAAATTTAAAAATAAATAAACCTTCACTTAAAGGCTCAATGAATTAGGATATAGGTGTACGGCAGAACTGGGGCGGGGGGGCAGGGGGGTGACGGGGTGGTCAATGAATAAAAACCACAACTGTAAGGGCACTGGAGACGTCTTCAGGAATGCTGGCTGTACTTGAAGCCTTGTTATTTGATAAGCCCAGGAGATTGTTCTAAACTACACTCCAGAAGGCAATTACCTCAAACTTCACTGTCTACATTGTCATGTAAATTCACACTAGGAGTCTAAATAGGTTTTTGCTTACCATTTAGAGGGATTAAACAGCATCAGAGGAAGTTCAAATATATAAACTGAAACTGGTCAAAAAAGAATAGCCACATTTCAGAAACTATACCATTGGTGCACTTTTCCGTGATAAGGCTACTATGTTTTAAAAGGAGGCACAGTGAATTTTAAGACATTGACATTTATAGCCGCAGCTCGACGCTTACTCTTGGAGGCCCAATTATCATCCCTGTCCATCTTGTAAGTGTCATGTCTTCGTCATCTTCTAGACCCCAGCTAACTGTGCCATCTCCTACTCCTTTCTGGCCTTCTTCGAGTTCTTCCAACAGTCGGAAATTGCGAGGGACTTTTACTCCTAAAATAAATGGAAAGAAATTCAAGATACTAGCAACTCCAGGGGAACGTGTAAGCCTACAGCTAACTGCTCATTATTACCACCTGGGAACAAAGATGCTAACATGCAAAAAACTGCCGAGACTCCTCACCTGCAGACTTGCTGCTTACAAAGCTATCTCCATCAGCCCAGCCAGTGGAAAGGAGGCATCCGGGACTGTCACAAGGGAAATGACTATTCAACCAGAGCTAGGTAAACTTAGAAAGATACCCCACCCCACACCCTCACAGCTCGACAAACTCAATAAAGGGTGTACATTTCTAAATGTGGATTAATTCGGGTCCACCTGAGATGAAAACCACCAATGTCAAGTGCTAACAAAAGTGCCTTGGAGAAGAAGAGGCTATTGTTTCTATTTTGCTATTAAGGGTACACTCACTTGTTGGAATGACTCTCAAGCCACCTTAGGAGCAAGAGTTGCCTTGGATAGTTTTTTTTGTTTGTTTGATCAACTAAGAGTCAGCTGAAGGTGTCAAAGGATAAAATTTACTTACTACACGGTTAATATTTTAATGATTAAGCCATAGTGTCTCTCTGAACTTGTGAAAAAGCTGAAAGAAAGTTAGTTCTCTGATTTACTTGTTCCTGGAAATA